TTTAAATATTTAGGGTAAGTCTCATGAGGCTTTATTGCCTTATTCTGAGAAAAATCTCTATTAGTTCTTCATCACCTTAAGCCACTTAGTTCTTATTTAAAGACTATTGATAGTCTCGGAATTCACTTTTTCGAATACAAATAGCATTGTCGACTGTAGTGGCAAATATATGTTTAATTCAGTACAATCCCATTAAAAATGTAAATTGGAAGAGGCGTAGCTTGCTTTGCATTTCACATCTAATCTGTGACCCATCAGTACCCGTGTCGATTTGATGTAGTTATCACATTTAGAAATTATACATTTTACTACCCGAGTTAGATTCCCGCTGTGGATGTTGATGAGACCTAAGCAGTCTGGATGAGGATACCTTTTGGAGGCAAATCTATTCATATCATTGTGGTTCTTCATCATCTTAGGAAACTTAGGGTTACCAAAGCTCCTATTCAATTTCAAATTGTTCACTTAAATAAAGAGATGTCTCAGATGGGAATCAGGTAGGATTCAAGTTGTACAATGTTCTTGACTAAACGTTTGATGAATTTTTCTTTAAAATTGGCAACACGCTCTCTATATATATACAGGCTGTTCGTCTGCTCAAAGTCTTATTAATTTTTAAGCAATATAGATCTCACACTATTCACATCTATAGTGGGTTTGTTATTGATTAGGCATACGCGTATTTGGTATTTAAGTATTAAAACTTACTCGTATAATTAATAAGAAGGCTTGAAGATTATCAATAAATCTTTAATTAGAACTATGCTTCTTACATAGCTTTTTTTATATAAGATGACTAAAGTTCTTATTCTTCCTATATGAATAGCTTCGAAGCAATCTAATTACGCACATAGATATTCCATCCATATTTTCAAACACTGAAAAGTCCAATAGCAATTTAGAGTATATTTCTTGATAATCCTTTATTGTTTACTCCCTTGAGAGAGTTGTTCCTTAAATGCTTATCTAAAATAATATTCAATATGCTACAGAAATTTCTACTTGAAAATTTAAGTTATCAGACCCTTAATTTATTCCACTCGCGGCTCTTCGTTTATTTTTTTTGTTTCAATTGGTATCTTAACTTAGAAGCTGGTGGAATCCAGAGACTGGAGGAGCCAACATTCCGGCCTTGAATGACTTGCTTTCTCCCTTCGGCATCTCCTTTGGGCAAGCCCTTGAATTTCATTAATTATGTATTATAATCTTGTATCTCTGTTATGCAGTGATTTGTCAAAGACTATGCTTTTAATCGAGTAGTCAGAATAGTAATTTTGATGCCCAAAGCTTAAATAGCAATCCTCGAGGCCTGCCCTTAATGTTAGGGAGCAACAACATTTATGCCTCTGTTTTGGCTTTTCTCTTGTCTAATGAGTACATTTTTTGCCCACCTTCCTCTATAATTTTACCTTAGGGCTATATTTTTTGATCCTCTGTTTCATTGATACAAGTCTTTATATTTTAAATTAAAAACTAATATGCTTTCTGGAACTTCGAAATTTTTATGCAAAAAATATATATTTGTAGGCCTATTTTAAGGCACTTATTATCTCGTAATATTTATTCCTTAAAAAATATTTAATTTTATGTAAATATCTGCACTTGATTTTTTTCGTTTTTATTTTGTTAGCGGTTTATCTCATTATTGCAAATTTGTCAAGTAATTTGACCTTAGGTTGCTATTATTTATTTCTTTAGGGACACTGTTCTGGCTGGCAAATTTAAGATCAATTACCATACTGGTTAGTCTCCTATTCATACATACTTATTAACCTATTATTTAAATGAAAAAATTGTCAATTTGGAGGAAGCACTCGGGTGGATAAGACATTGATGAGATCGAAGTTGCAGCCCACTGTAGATAAAAATACCTTTTTGGGAACATAGCTATGTGAAATTCTATGTTAACTTTGAACCTGCTCATATCATTGTGATAAAATTTAACTATCGCTCCATCTCATTATGCAGTCTATGGTGTCTAGAAATCATATTCCTTTAAAACCAACTTTTCAGCACTTAATAAGTTATCAACATTATTCATATGGATAAGGAAATATGCAGAAAATAATTCAATAGTTAAAAGTCTTTTAAATTATTTTTCTCTAGATACATTGATAATAGTTACATAATTTAAGCTTTCGGAATAACATGATAGCTGTTGAGGTAGTGCGATTCAGGTTGGCAAAAAAATATGACATGAGTTTACCTATAGAACTCAAATATAATGATCCTGGGAGTAGTTAACACTTGCCTCTATTGTTGAATTTTTAATTACTGGATCGTTTAAAAATCTTTTTCAATAAAATATTCACACATATATATACATATATATATATATATTTGCTTTATACTATTTTCAAGTTGCTTTATGTGAAAATGATCATACTAAATTATATTTATCTTAAATTCGTTTTTCAGTCTCCTATTTATCTGGAAGCAACCTGCTTAACTTTCCTATGGGTTCGATATCTAATGTTTCGGGACTCGGATATATCCTCTCCACTAGACTTGTTGATATAGGAGCCCAAGTCGTCCAAAATAAAAGAGTCTCAGAAGAATCCTTTTATCGACCACTCAACTTGGTTAAGAATGAAAAGAGAGAGTTTTCTAACCTGGCCCAAGCCAGATCTGAAACCGGCATACTTCATCCAAGAGAAAGTGATAATATTTCTATAGACAAAGACAACCCTTTGAATTCGAAGGTGAATATCTTCTCGTCCTCTTTCCGCACCAAGCCTTCGGCTGAATGGAATGACCCTATCGCTCCTATACTCGGTCTTTGGACACCTGTGTTCCCTTCTTCAAACATTTCAAAATCAGTTCTTGCGATAAATGGTTCGATGGCCGACCGTCCACGGAAGGTTGGCAAGCTTGCAGTATTCGCCGACTCTACTTGCCTTGATTCTACGCATTTAAATGAAAGTATGTGTGAATATTTTAGCATTAACCTAAACCAAATCATTTAATCAAAGTGTAAGTAAAGTGAATGTTATGTGAATTTTTCGACAATAATATCTCAAAGTTACGGACATGCTACATCTTTTTTACCATGAAGACACTTCGGCAACCTAATTGCAATTGTCTCTATTTCTAGCAGTATTATAACTGAACTCGATCCTAGGTGTTTTAAAATTATTTATAGCTCCCTTGTCAATCACTTTGTCTTGATCAGCAACTATTCAGCAAGAAAATTTATTAATATATTTATTTATTTCATTTAGAAGCTTAATTAAGATTTATATTAAAAGCTATCTGCCTTAAACTATTATTGTTTTATCAAGTAAATGGATTGACCAGCTAAAAACATTCTCTGACATTCTCTGGGGGCCCTGTATCCGGCTTTCTAGTGCGTGGCGATCTACACTTTCATTATTTTACCTTTTCCTTTTGCTCTCAGTCCCATCTAATCCTGAGGTTACACAGCTCGGCGTTTGTGCATAGTTTACTGGGACATGGATTCCTGAACCTAGACAACTATAAGAGGGTACGGTTTGAGAGCAGTCCTCGCTAAAGCTTTCGCACATGTCCTACGATATTTTGGGTCTGGTCATATAACCAAATCCGCGAATATATCCGAAAATGTGGCCAGAGTCGAGGGTTCATAGACAACTAGTTAGACAAGACAGTGTTTTTCAAGTGCGGCGAAGAACAGTTGACAAAATAGATGAAATGTGAGACTAACTGGAAGTGCCGATTAGGATCCAGAAGCCCTGCTGACAGCATCCAAAACCTTTGGTTAATAAACTTCAACAGAACTACTTTAAGTGATAGACTTTTGGAAGACATTGATGGAATTGAATACACAGAGGTGTAGCTAGGTAAATTGGCCATTGAAATGGGGTTGGTGGTCGAGTATACAGCGCTAGGAGCAAGGTTAGAGGAAAGTGATAGGTCACAATGGTTGAGCTGAGAATAGGTCAAGAAATGTCTTAAAAGGTCAATTTTACCGGTTGTAGCTCGGATCTTAGGATTCCACCTATCCCTGTCGATGCTGGCGAAAAGTCTGGGAATTTATCAAGTCAAGCTTCCAATGCTTGAAATTATCATGACTCGTATGACTAGGTCTCCCTGCCATTCAGAACAAGTTGCTAAAACTAGATCTAACCAAAACTCTAATTATTTGGGTTTTATTATATGTTGACATATGCTATCCTTAAGAATTTCACTTTGCATTTACTGGTAGTCTCGAAACCTTACTTACATACGAAAAATAAATAAAGTAATCGATTGTTATACCAAATATACGTTTTCTTCATTGACAGTCCCACCAAAGAATGTGATATGGGAAAAAGCCTGGCCTTCCTTGAAATTCACATCTGCCCCGTGACCCAAGGGCATCCGTGGCAATGCGGCCGAGTTATTTACATTTCAGGCTCATATTCTGCACTGTCACGATTCGACTCCCTCTGAGGGTGTTGATAAGACCTATGCGAAGTCGAAACTGCAGTCCACCCTGGATGATAACGAATTTTGGGAAGCGAGGCTATGTGAAATTCAATGGAAGCATCAGCTCTATTTATATCATTGTGGGAAAATTCTACTACGAATCCTTCATCACCATTAATGAAAGAGGGTGAATACATCTTATATTACTGATTTACTAGTAGTATCGAAACTCTACTTACGTACGAAAAAATAGTATTTTGTTTCAAAAATATCTATAATGTATCTTTTTAATTATCAGGTAAGCTTGTTTTGATATACTCACTTAATGTTGCGTTTCTCTTTAAGTTGAGCGATGCTCACTAGAGCGATGCGACTAGAGTTTAGAAATAAAATGCTTGCTACTACTAAAATCTAATACACTCCAGTATTTTTAATCTTATTTAGATCAAGAGCTCTAATCCTTCCATAGATACAAATGCAGAATCTGTAATCATAAAATGAATGAGTATCATATGCTTTATTACTTGGTGTGTTATGCTTTTTCTTCCTTGTTAGTCCTCATCCATTCTGGATAAGTGCTTTGGGACATTTTTTCTGTACAAATTGAGTTTCTGTCATTAATTTATTTTCTTCTAGTAAATAATAAGACTCAAATGTCTCTGGTTTGGTTAAACTCATTATTGTGAAACTTCACTCTCAAGTGCTTGAACTGCACTATCTAAGTTAATTTTCAATATACTTTACATATTACTCCTCTTGTAAATTACTCCCTATTGTACCTTCAGTTACTTGGTCTACTGCCTCTCCTTGCCTTACGTATTGATACTAGTGTCTTCTTGGTGTACCTTTTTTGTATGGGAAATGTTTTTCCAACAACTCACCTAAATTCTCTTTATTTATGTAGACTAAAATAAGCCTTTGGCAAATCACGTATCTATTTCCATTCATAAGTATGGGCATCTGTACATTATTATAATGTTTGTTTGTGTTAGATCTGTAAAGGCTATAAAAGGTTTCCGCTTCTACTATTATAACCGGTGATGTACTTTTACTGGTTAAGCCTCAGGATGCTTGCCCTTATTCTGGTAGTTACATTTTAGTATCTAGTGTCAAGTATGACATTTAACAACGTGATTTTGCAAGCATATGGAATACGAAGTGTAGTTTTGGTGAATTATGTGCCATTAATTTATCTTGTTTTGTTGGTTGCGACATACTTAAATATTTCATTAATTTAGTTTATTTGTCATGGGTATTTTGTTTTTTTTGAAAGAACACAAGATTACATAAGCATAGTCAACTTTAAGAATAATCATAACCTTAGGAATTAGAACCTACTTAGGCCCTTTGGAATAATCATTTCACTTCTCTTCACCTTCATATCTGGGTTATCTTTTATCCTATATATTTCTAATATATTACCATAATTTGCGTTATTTTGGTAGTTGTGCTTTTTAAATATTTAATAAAAAACACCATTAAGTTAAAAATTGATGCTTAAATGCAATAGATATATTTCGTACATAACCAAGTTTGTGGTTAGATTGATTTACTAGCAGCAAGACTATGAGTTAAGTACAATAAAAAAATTGTTAATATTTTGAGCATATTTCACATTTATCCTTCGACTTTTTTAAGCTATTTGTTTTTTTAACTACGCTTAGCTTCTTTTCTGTTATTAATTTTTATAAGCTCAACTTGCGTTCAAATTCTCTCGACCTTTGGATATTAGTATCAGCCGTCGAAGGAATAAGTTTATTTCCCATAGTTCACTTTCATCATGCCAATTTTTGAGGCCATTTGTAACTTATGCATTTCATAGATATTAAGATTGAGATGATAATTCGTTTCGCTCCTGCCTTTATTATTGACCTAAATTTTTATAGCTAAGAACCGTTTCGCATCCATAAAATCAGCATGGCCACGCTACAAAAATAACAATATAATGAGCCAATTGACTCGACAAATTTTATGTTAATCATTCGTGTCCTTGTACATCTCATATCCCATAGCACCGCATCATACTTTATTCCTATTTCATTCCCAACTTTTTACCCTCGTTTGTGAGATTCGTTTTGTGTTTATCAGGACATATTCACCCTTATTGCCGGTTTTCTATAACCCCTTCCGGACTTCACCAAACTTCTACTAGCTGGCCCCTCCTGACCCTGGCAATCCGTGTCTTATGTGGTGGGATTCACTTGGTCTTCGCCACCGCATCCATTCTAGTTGGGCAGCTGTTCAAATAATCATCCATGAATGTAT